CAGTAGAAAAATATCAATTCAACAGCGGCCTTTTAAAGCATTCTCACTTCAATTAATTAATTAATTCCTAATTGAGTTTAAATTAAATATTGTCATGTTTTTAGTGCATGAATCTGAATTGAACAACCTGATAATGCTCACTCTGGTTATTGTTATCTGGTTGCTCACTACGTGCTCTTGCGCGCCGAATCCAATCAATTAAAAATGAAAACTGTTGCCAGCGCGAGAAAAGAAATATCATCGGTTTTATTGATACATACGTACGTATTAGCGTTTTATATAATATAGATAGTAATTTTTTAATGTAAAAAAAGATGTTTAGCAGATTCTTTATTTTTTAAATCATTTTTGTATTTGTTTTGTAATTCCTTTATTTTATATATTTCCATTTTCTATTATTTAGATCAAAGTTATCTCAACAAAATGTTGTTACAACATCTACTTACCTGTTTGGCCATCCACTCTTTGTTCCCGTCCCTGCTACTCGATGCTCATTTGATACCCTGTATGGTATTATGCTAAAATATATGGCGTAAGTGTTTTAAGAAATCCTTTTTATTTCTTGTTCTGTTCCTTTACTTGTATCTGGTTTATAGGCACATGGGTACTTTTTCAATGTAGCCGAAATGTAATGAAAGTAGATGCAAATTAAAACTTAAACAAGACTAGAGTTAAAAAGAATGAAACAAAGAGGAGGGTTATAGTATCTAAATGAAAACTGCTGATGAGATAATAAAAGGTATCGAAACCAATCATTTAATGTCATTAGTAATCATTTTATCTTCATAAGTAAGTGATCTCATAAACCTTAATAAAAAATATCAGTTATGTTAATAATTGTTAATAAAATAAAGAAAAAATTGAATGCCTTGCTTATTTAATCGGATAAATGTCTTCAAAGAATAATCTTCGTTTATTTTTTACAATAAAAAAAATGGGATTTGAGTGTTGAACAATTAGAAAACAATTTGTACTCTTGTTTCAGTAAGATGAAAAGGTTAGTGAGTACATTTTTAAATTCATTTTAAATTACATTTGTTAGCTAACAATGTGTCTAAATTGCAAGATTTGAATGTCTATGATAAATTTGAAATGTATATGAATTCATTCATAACACTCAATGTAAATTGAAAAGTTACAAAACCTTCTACAAACTTTCTAATAATGTTGAATCAGTTATAATTTAAAATTCTGCTCATCAAATAAGAATGCACTAATTTTTTAAGAATCTTCTCTAAATTATAAAAACTGTAGCTCATTTCTACCCAAAATTTTAAATTAAAACAAAATAAAATACAAATGCTGTAGTTAATTTAACATTTATTGTATTTGTGAAATTTAATTTGGAAACTTTTTCCTAATTAAATGTAGATAGGCTGCTTTTTAAAATTAGTCGCATGATAAAAACAAATGTCTGTTAAACGAGTGAGGCTTTAATACGCAATTGGCACTGTGTGAATTTTATTTTTATTTAAACAAAAATATTGCTTTAAAAAAATGTACTTGTGCATATTCAGTTAAGAACTTTCATTGACTTAAAATTAAGAAATAAATAAATTATTAGTGACATGATTTAATAACTACTTTTGACTCATGTAACATTGTAGCTATTATCTGTTCTTGTAGACAGGGGGGAAAAGTTGAATCTCTATTACTTTTTTAAGTATCTGTCTTTCTGAATTCTCATTGATTTTAATTTTCAGGCGCTTTTTCAAGTTACCTCAAACTGAGCAAGAATGGGAGCAAGTGCTCCCACCAAGTACTGAAATCAGAAATGGGGGTATGTTGCTAATTATTTGAAATTTTTTTTATAATTAAAAAATTTTTTAATGACTTTAATTTTGTAACTGTCAGTTAAATTAATAACTAGTTACTTAAGAATGTATATGCTTTTCTTAACCTAAAAAATAGGCTATCCTCTGAGCCCAATAACATTTCTTAGGATTTATCATACTGATATATTATCATACTGATTGTAGCTATATTTTTAACTAGTTTTTTTTTTCCATTTCAATTAGTCAGTATATATGCATACTTTAGATACTGACTAAAAGGCTCTTTATTTTTTAGATGCAGACATTTTTAATGGGGACGATTATGACAGTGATCCATCTGACAATGACAAAAATATGGATAATGATGACATTATGAAAAATGCACCATCAGAGCAAAAGAGATATTTGTTTAAAATTTTAAGTATAAATGCTCCAGGAAATCTAGAGTATAACCAACTGAAAGATAGTGAGGAATTCCTAAAGTTAGATCGTAAGTTTTGTTTGATGCAAAGTTTTCTACAGCCCATGACATTAGCAATAGATTTTGCAAGCTTTAAGTTTTTCAATTAGGGGTGTGTAGCATTTATAAAATGTTCTTGAAAGGTGCTTAGCTAATTTTTTTTTAGAAGCCCTTAGAGATGCTTTTTTCATTGGATGTTTTTAGAAAGTGCTTAATTCTCCTTTTTCCAAAATTAAAATTTTTCTTTACAATGTTGATTTTCACCATGAATTATGCAAAAAGCGTTGTTGTCACATTGTTCTTTTAAACATTTTAAGAATTCATTCAACCACAATTTATTTTGGTGTCCATCTGTCCGTAATGTATGAAAGCGTCGGCAATTTTACGTGGTTAATGAAATATTAACAGAATTGCTTGTACACACTCTAAGCTGGATTCTTTGGGAAAGATTTTTGCCTTCTCGTGTGCAACTTTGCTACAGTTTTAAGAGCAAAAAAGCTGTGCTACTAGAGATTCTCGATTTCAGGCTTCATTTTCCAGCCTTTGAAGTTGAATCGAAAAATTTAAAATTTTTGCTGATCATCGGGAACTAACTAAATATTGCCAATTTATTTTTTATTTCTCTTGCTAATTTCGACTTTTGGGAGACTTGGAATTTTTTTCCATAGACTTTGTGTTGAAGAAAACCTTTAGGAGAGACCATAAAAACATCTTCCAGCGACCGGGCAAACCTTTGCTCCAAATGCCGAAAAGGTTGAATAAGGAAACACGAGGAATATCAAAATAAAAGAAAATATTAACAAAACAAATAAGTAGTTTCAAATGTGTTAGAAATATTTGTGAGTAGCTTTTGTTTAGAGAGCTGTTTTTTGACGATCTCTGAAAGAGATGAACAATCTCATGTCAGAGTGCACTAAAGGCAATGCTATCAATGATTTAGTTTTAGAGTTAGAAGTTAAATTAGAAAAATAAGGTTATTTTAGAATAAACTAAGCACCTTAAACAAACCTATCATTTTTTAAGTAAATTAATTTTTATGATATACAAATAAATGCAAACTTAAACAAAAAATATAATTGGTAAATTTGCTTTTACACATAATTATATCAGTAAAGTTCATTTTTATTTACGATTCTTTTATGCAACACTCAATTTTATTCATTAATCCGGTTTTCATGACGCTGAGTAAAATTAAAATCACTTGCCAAATTTCCTGTAACTTTGATAGCATTTTGAACTCCTGAGAACAACCAACCTCCATTTACGACCATTTTGCTGTGGAACAGTGAGTGGTCGCTCTCAAAAGGTTTCAAAGTATACAGGGCCTGCGTTAAGCATTCGCCACCTCGTCAAATGCGATGAATTCGATGACGCCTAATGCAAATAATTTTTTCCACTGGAAAGAAAATATATACTTAACTCGATCCTCAAAATTATGTCAAAATGAATTTTTCTAAACATATCAGTATTTTTGATTTGATTACAGTGATTTTCGGTAGATGCACCGCGTAACCAATTAAAATTTGGTCCGAATAATATAAGCCTGAACCATTGTACCGTAAAATACATTGTAAACCTAGTTAAATAATTCTATGTGAAAAATTGAATCGTAAACAATTGTTAAGATTTGCATTTGGCAAAGACTTTTGAAAATTGACGAATATTTTTGATACTTTGCTAATTTACTGGTTTAAAATTTAAAAGAGGCGTGCGTGCAACACACACACGAGCTTTCAACAATAGGAAGAAAAATTTTATTAATGAGCATATCCTAATTATTATTTTCATAAGAAAAATTTCTTAATATTTTTTTTGAGTGTTTAAAAAGTGCTTACTTTTTGTTGAAAAATTTAGCTACTGTTTACTATATAGTGATGAAGGATAAATTATTAACTAAATTTATTATTTTACTTCATTTTTATCTTAATATTTTGTTTGTTTTCTATTTAGGTAAAATGTATTTGTCACTTGAGTTTGATGAAAAAGTTAGAAAGGAATGTTTTAATGAAAAAGAATTTGTGGTATGATAGTTACTATTTTAATTTTATTATTTATTAATTAATAAACTGAAATATTTAACTAGTATTTAAAAATTATACAAATGCATGTTTAATGATTCCTCATTTTAATTAATTGCCCTATTTATTGAGCAAGGTTCATAGTAAAATCTGAAGATACAGATTTAAATTTAAAAAAAAAAACTGTAAATACGAAAAGTTTTGCTAAAATCTAGAAGATGTTAAACTGCTAGAAAAATCGAAATTTCAGGACTTTTTTTTTTTTTCTTCTCTGAAACCACTTTTTTTACAAAATTGTCAGTTTTCTAATACAAAAGTGTCATATTAATTCTGTTAACAGAGCAATTTTGATTGAAGAAAAACTCTTATTGAAACTTTATAAAATTATATTTACTATAATGTTTGAATAATTTTTTTATAAAACGATTATTATTTTAATGAGGATATTAATATTTTTCAAGGTTTGTAAAATTATAAAAATGGAAAACTCTTTTTGTTTTTTAGCTCTTTTAAATGTCGTATTTAAACTCTCTAGAATTGATTATTTGCGGTTTAATGTGTGCATCACAATATTGTTGAATCATCCAGATTGTATGTAGGAATAAAAAAAAAACGTACTCAAAAACAGGGCATGACAATTTAGTTTAAAAGCACTAGCCAGACTAAAACTTTTGCTCCTCACCATTTTCACGAAAAAAATAAAAAAAATTCAGGATCTTAACCGATTTTGTATAAAGAGTTTTATGGTGACCCAAACCACAAAAAAGAATCTAGAAATGAGTAATGATTTATTGTAGTGAATGAATGCAGTAGTGATTAATTAATCCTAATATAATTACTTAAGCTTTTCAGGACAGGTTTAAAATATCATCAATATTAACTAGTTGCATAGTTTCAAAAAATTATTAAAATTTTTTTTATCATTCTTCTTTGTAACTAAAAGTATAAATAATTAAAGTTTTTAAAAACTAAATAAAAAATTATCACCTTATGAAAAACTAATGAAAGAAATATTTTGTTAAAGAAGAGAGCCTGAGCAAAAAAAAAAAAAAAAAACTACTTTAACCTATTAAGTTTATATATTACTCGATTTTTGAAGTTTGATTCAAGAATTCAGTTCATGAATTTAGGAATTGAGTTCAAGTGTTTTTTTTTTTTTTAAATCTTAATTTTTATTTTTTTTAAACTATTTTTATCATATTTGAATTTTTTTTTTTTTAATCCTCTGATAATTTTTTTATTTTCTAGAGTAATATCATACATGAATCAATGAATCAGAGGATATCACAGAAAAAACAAGTCATCCAACTTAGTGAATGTCTGGAACTTTTTACCACTGTAGAAAAATTAGGTGCTGATGACCCTTGGTACTGTCCTGCTTGTAAAAAACATCAGCAAGCTACAAAAAAATTTGATTTGTGGTCTTTGCCTCAAGTCCTTATCATTCACCTCAAGCGGTTCTCGTATAATCGATACTGGAGGGACAAGCTTGATACTCTTGTTGAATTTCCTGTCAAGTAAGTTTTTGATAATCCAAAGTAGACCTTAACTATTTTTAAAATTTGATCATGTGTTCAATTTCTTAGAAAATGATTCCTGACTGACCATTTGCTACACATAAATTGTCAGGATTATTAATAATCTTTCTGTCAACCATGAATTAAAAAGTAAAAAACCTCATCTCTTTTAAAAGCGAAATATAGTTTCTGAGGTAACTAGATGTTGGCAAGCTATGTTGAAAAAATTAAATTAGTTACTCCATTATTTCACTTTTTATTAATGTGATTACTTTAACTTCCTTCAAGGGGCTTAGGTAATTATGAGTTTCACAACTTGCTAGTAAATTTTCCTGCTTTCATTTTATCCGATATTCTTTTTATTGTCGTGTTAGACTTTGTCTACATTACCGACTTTTTTATTTTAAGTATCACGTTTGCAGTTTAATTGCTTCTGGCTCTTGTGTCAAGAAATTCTACATTCATATGCTTTCTTTAACATGAATTGAGCAATATTTAGTAATAATCTGCCCCTAAAATAAGCATTAATTTTTAAAAAAAATTATGATGGGCAAATTTCTGAATTTCTTCCCTTTAGAGGAATTTGTTTGCTTAGCAGGAAAATATGCAAGTAAAAGTATGATTTGTTTCAAATTATTAGAAATGCTTCATCCTTTTTTTTTAAAAAAAAAAATACTATGTATATTTTTATATTTAACAATTGATTGTCATAGTATGAAGGATTAAAATAGTAAGGTGTTTTCGGATATACTTTTAGTGTAGCAAACCAAGAAATAAGAAATTATATTTATTTTTTCTGTTATATATGAAAAGCTAAAAGAATTGCAACTTGCTCACTTGTAACAAATTAAAAATTATCAAGTTTTTTTTAAATAAGGAAATAGTGTTTCAAATTATAAAAAATAGAAAGGATTAAAATTTTTACTCTGAGAATGTTTGATTAGCCTAATCTAATAATTTCTTTTATTTGTTTTTATGAAATAGTTTTAATAATTGCATTTGTATAAAGAAATATTTATTGTTTTTTAGTGGTCTAAATATAGCTAAATATGTACTTAATCCATCCCATGGACCTGCTATATACGATCTCTGTGCTGTTGCTAATCACTATGGTGGAATGGGAGGTGGTCATTGTAAGTATTCTTGATAATGTGTGTATGTATATATATATATTATCACCTATGTTTGCTGATTAGTGTTAAATTGAATAGTATTTTTCATTTTATCAGACATTGTATCAATTTTTTAAATATTAAAGTGAGCTAGTAAGTAAGTGTAGAATTTAACTATGATTTATTGCTGCCTTGGAGCCAGGTTGTTAATTTGATATATATATTTTTGGAATTTAAACAATAAATGATTGAACTTTGAATTTAGCTACATTTTTGAATATTGTTACATACCTAACAATTCTATACCATTGAAGCTAAATCATATGCATAAATTGTTGTCTTTATAACTAGATTCTATTCATTAGAATCTGTTTCTAAAGTTATATTTTGAAGACTTCCTTGTCTTATTTTATTCTATTTTTTATAAATTGCTGGCATTGAATTAATCATATATGCCCCCTACGGAAAATGCTGGAAGTGTTGCTCATTTAACGGTACCTGGTGTGCATTTGTGAATCTGAGTCACGGTAGCTAGTAACATTGCCACAGGTTCATAGGGTGAGCTACATTCACACGGCAAAGAACAAACACTGAGACATCCTGGCCCCGAGCTGGATTCAAAACCACAACTGTTGACTTTGAAGTCTGGCATCCTGACCATTCAGCCAGCGTGCCTTCCAACTTGATCAATGCCATTTGTAAAATACTTCCTATAGAATTTTTTTAGATATTCTTGTTGGTATATCATTTACCAATTATATTTGATTGGTGCACTTTTTGCCAGATTCATTTAATATATAGATATTACGTGAAGGGTCTAATTTTTCAAAAATTTAAATCATTTTGAACTCATTCTGAAGTAACAGTTGATCATTTGAACTTTTTCTGAAGTAATTAAAAAGAATTGCATCTTTTATTTGAATGGATCTTTTGTTCTGTTTAATTTTTGTACAAAGACAAGTATTCATTTAAGTCATTTTGTTTTCAAAATTCAATTTATAAAGCAAATGAAAAAGCTCTCTTAAAATATTGTAATACGTCTATAAAAGTGTTTAGAATTTATTCATTGTGTAGGGGAAGGGGGAAGCAGTAAAAAGAAATGTTCCAACCGAAGTCCTCGGCTGACATAGATTGTGCCGGCTTAGCTTTGATTTAAGAAAATGATTGTTGGGTAGTGGGTGTTGTGTGCTTTTAGACCAGGCAAGTTATTTATCATTTGATTCTACTGGCTAATTTAACATAAGCTACTTTTCTTTCTTTAGTTAAAGAGGAGGTATGTGATTCCGGCACTTTGTTATTTTCATTGTTTAAATGGGAGTAGTTAATACTATCAATATTTCAGTTGGTGTTCGTAATGGAAATGTTTTTTTTTTTCTTCCTTCCTTTCATCCTGATTTGATGCTTTCGGTGTAGGTTGTTGCTGATTTTCTGAAAAATAACAGATGTTTTGAAAAATCATTTAAAGAAAAAAATAAAGTACAGCTTGCTGTGTTCTGATTAGAAAACTATTTTTTTTTTNAAATAGATATTTTTTTTTTTTTTTTTTTTAATTTTTAAAATGATTTGGAAAGCTTATTAGCAGATAAGGTTGCTCAATGCAAAAATTATAAAACCATGCTATTCTAGCTTATGTTATTTGCAAGGACGTATGTTCATTTTGTCTTCAAACTGTTTTTGTTGTAAATGGTGGTTATTTTTTAGATATATTGTTTAATGGCTTTTTCTTTTTCAGCCGCATTGACTAAGAAAAAGCTATTAAAAAGAATCAGTAATGGCATCGGGTATTTATTCTCAAATATGTTGATGGGGAGAATAAATACCTGATTTCCTTAACAGAACACACTAAGCTGTACTTTCAATTTCTTCCTCTTTATTTTATTTTTCAAATCATTTTTGGGCCACCCTCTAAAACAATTTGTGGCAAAAAATCAAAATTGTAGTAGCTATAGAGTTATTTTTTTTTATCAGTTTTGTTATTTAAATACTTCTAAGCAAATGTACTTGGGTCATTTAGTGTAAATTTATCAAAATATTTAGTTAATTCTTAAAAATTAATAAGTGTAAAAATTAAAATCATTAATTAAAAAAAATAACTGAAAAACGCATGGAAATATTTTTATGGTTGGCTTCAAAGTAATTGCTTGCGTAAAACATAGATGTTAGTTGTAAACTCTTCCTAATTTTTTAAGTGACCTAAATCTTCGTGCTATCTCCCTGATTTTATCAAAAGTTTGATAAATCAGCAAAGGCATAAATTTTTGTTTTATTTTTTTAAAAAAAATATTGAATACTAGTGGGTTCTGTCCTCCGTTCGCTGGTGTTCCCCAACCCCTGGATATCGTCTGCTTGTTTCACTTGCTATTAAGGTAAATCCATTAGATACGTATAGAATCTTAGAAAAGATTCTGGTATAAAATCTTAGGAATTTAAATGAAATATTAAAACCTTTTAAAACTAATTCCTCTTTAAAATTTTAAGCCAAAAATAAGTTATTGAAGTAAAAAATTTTAAAATGAAATAAATTACATGCAATAGAGAAATTTGCAGAACATAATATCAAACACTTCGTTTGTTCATATGAACTATTTGCTTTTAACCGTGCATTTCTTTCCAACTTATAACTCAGTTCATCTTTTCCTTATTCGTGTAAGAAAAGAATTTTAATTCCAAAATTTGTAAATGTGTGCATTTACACTTCCTTGCTTATGACAGATCACATACTTAATATATCAATTATTTGTTGCCAAATGCAGGGGGAAAAAATGAGGACTCACTTTATTGTTGTAAAAGTGAAATATATGTATAGATAAGAGTATCAGTGTAATAAAATATATTTTGATACCGCTTTTTTTTATTTATGAAATAATTTTAACCAATAATTTTTAAGTGCTTTAAATAAAGAAAAATTTAAATTTAGTAAAAGATCAATGTTTAAAGAGAGATATATTGCTTATTAAATGAACTTAATAAACATATTTGAAATCATGTATTTTTTATTAATTTATTTACTTAACTTGACTTGAAACAGTTAAATTGAAAGTTTAAAAAAAATAATAAATTTATTAATTAATTAACATTAACTCTATTGCTTTTTTGACACATTTAATTCATTTTTGCAAAATATGTCATTATTTTAAAGAGATTCAGTTTGAATTATAAATTCTAATAATTTTGTCTTGAAACATAAATTTTTTTTATCTATTCTAATTTTATTGTAAATAGATACATATTTTAACAAACCATTCATTTAATTTTAGAAGTTTAAATTTAAATACAGTACAGAACCCGTTATCCGGAAATCAGAAAACCGGAAGACCAAAAAACCGGAACGAAATTCGGTAAATTTTCCCGCCATTTAAAAATTTTTTTTTATTTTTCCTCATAAGATTTTAGGATTTGTCTTTCTTTTTTGAAAGATGTTCACATTACCATCATTTTGGAAATAATCATTAGTGTTCATCATCGTAATCATCGTTTTTTCTTCTTTTTAAGATTATTTCCAAAAAAAAAATTTTTTTAAATTGGGTTTAACAATAAAAAAACGGCTTTTTGTAGCGATTCAGAAAACCGGAAAAATCAGTTATCCGGAATAGCGATGGTCCCGATCGTTCCGGATAATCGGTTCCCTACTGTAC